ACAGTTCTGGAGGCCAGAAGTGCAAAATGAATCATAAGGGGCTAAGATGAAGGTGCTGGCAGCGCTGGTTCCTTCTGGAAGCTCTGAGGGGAGATGCATTTCCCTGCCTTTTCCAGCATCTAGTGGCTGCCTGGATTCCTTGGCTTGTGGCCCCTTCCTCCTTCTTCAAAGCACATTTGTCCAATCTCTTCTGTCGTCACATCTCCTTTTCTCTCTGACCCTCCTGGCTGCCTCTGATCAGGACTCCTGTGTTTACATTGGGTCCACCTGGATCATCCGGGATCATCTCCCCATCTCCAGACCCCAGACTTGATCACATCTGCAAAGCCCCTTCTGCCTCATGCAGTAACAGAGTCACAAATTCCAGGGGTTAGGATGTGGACATATTTGGAGGTCCGTTATTCAGGCTACCACCCTCTTAAAGCCCTCCAATGGCTGTGCATCCGAGTTAGAATTAAAACCCAGGCTCCTTACCCTTCATGGGAACGCCTTATCTAATCTAGCCCCTTCTTTCTCCCTCCCTCCCCTTGGCTCACTTGCTTCTCACGGTTCTTTCCAGAGGCCAACTCCATTCTTGCCACAAGTCTTCTCTGCACGTGCTGTGCCCTCTGCCTAAATGCTCTTTCCCCAGATCTTCACAGGTCTGGCTGCTTCGTGCCTTTCAGACATCAGCTCCAGTGTCACCTTCTCAGAGAGTTCTTTGCCTGATTAATCTGTCTCACCCACTCCTTCCTGCAGTCTCTCATATCACCTGGGTTTACTTAATGTCACCTGAGTTTACTTATTATTTCCTGTTTATTTATTTTTTTCTTTTTTAAGAATTTTATTTATTTATTTGACAGAGAGAGAGAGAACACAAGCAGGGCGAGTGGGAGAGGGAGAAGCAGGCTTCCCGCAGAGTGGGGAGCCCAGTGATGCGGGGCTCGATGCCAGGGCCCTGGGATCATGATCTGAGCCAAAGGCAGACGCTTAACGACTGAGCCACCCAGGTGCCCCTTATTTATCTTTTAAAAATTTGTTTATTAACTTATTTACTGTCTTTGTCCCCCATCAGAAAGTGAGCAAAGGAGAGAAAAACGCTTCCTTTTCTTGTTCACAGCTATATCCCCAGTGACTGGTAATCAGTAGATCCTTGATAAATGCTTGTTGAATGGATGAATGGATGGATGATGGTCCGGACATCCATTTGTTCTCTGGGCTTTAGTGTCCAGGATTCAGGCTTAGGATGGAGGTAGGTCAGACAGGCAAGGGGGGGGTACAACGTTTAATGAGTACTTCCTGTGTGCCAGGCCCTGTGCTCGTCCTTCTTTCATGAGGTTCAACATTTATTGAACACCTGCTGTGTGCTGGGCCTGGTGCAAATTATTTATTCACACATTATTTATTCAAAGAGCATTTACTGAGTGTCTACTGAATGCTAGGCAATGTACATTTATCAAACATCAGTTGTCTCAAATATACCAGTTGTCTCAAATCAGTGCCTGGGTACATAGCAGTTCAATAAATGCCGGAATCAATGAATGTCCTCAAGGAGCCCCTAGTCTTCCTGCTAAAATGGCCTGTAAATAAATAACTCTAACACACAAAGATAGGGCAATAATGTGGGTGTGTGCAGAGTGCAGAAGGGCCCCTTATCACCTTGTACTGGCAGGTACCTTTCTCAGAGTCTTATCTTCTTACCTGGGAACCAGCTCTCCGAAGGTCAGGTAAACTCGCCCCTCACTCACCTGCCTCTCCATGCCCTGGGCACCTGGGAAGGACCTGGCCAGCAGCACACGCTCAGTCAGTGCCTGTTACCTGATTACTGTGGTTTCCCCCACTGACAGTTGTTCCTTCATTCATATGCCAGGCAACAGGGCAACAGCTGGGTCCCAATCCTACTGCTGTTGGCCAGAAGCTAGGAGCTGGGAGCCTCTGACAGGCTGCCCACCCTCCATTTGGCCTGACTTTTCCAGCTTTACATGAAGGATTCGGATCTCCACCCTTGGTATAGCTCTCTGACTAGACTTCTATGGAATCTATTGTAAAAATTCAGGCAATGTGTAGAAATTGTTAAAGACTCCAAAGCTCACCACAGTCAGGAGCCTTTGCCTGATCTGACACTTTCCTTCCCTCCTTTTTAGTTTTAAAATGCATACAACATAAAATTACAGTTTTAATTATTTTATTTATTATTTTATTATTCTATTCTATTCTATTCTATTTATTTTTTTTTTTAGAGAGAGAGAGAGAGAGAGGGAAGGGGGAAGAGGCAGAGAGAGAGGGAGAGAAAGAATCTCAAGCAGGCTCCACACCCAGCATGAGCTCAGTGCAGGGCTTGATTGCACAACGCTGAGATCATGACCCAAGCTAAAATCAAGAGTCAGATGCTTAACCGACTGAGCAACCAGGTGCCCTTTTATTATTTTAGTTCCTAAGTAGACTGCATGCCAAACGTGGGGACTGAACTGACATGACAGTCGAGAGTTGCACGTTCTAATGACTGAGCCAATCACGCCCCCCTCCTTTTAACTCTTTTAAAGTGTATAGTTCTAGGGCATTAAGTACATTCACACTGTTATGCAACCATCACTACCATACTTCCCCCCCCTTTTTAAAATAATCTTTACTCCCAATATGGGGCTCAATCTCATGACCCCAAGATCATGACCCAAGCAGAAACCAGTTGGTTTCTGGATGCTCAACCAACTGAGCCACCCACACACCCCTATTTGGGTCTTATATTTAATAATCAGTTTGTTTAGAGCATTTACAAACATAACTTTAATAATGTACCAATTATTTTGGTTAGAAATGGCAAATACAGTGTTTGTCATAGTAAAAGTGAGTCTTTAAATCACTTTTTGAAGTTGCTGTCATGCAAAGTAATATAGTGCCACTGGGAGCAAGTTTAATAATAAAGAATATTATGCAGTTCTAAGCTTTAAAAAAATAGGAAATAAACATGTATATGGCTTAAAAATAATTATATATTATTATCATGATCGACTTAAGAAACAAAACTACACCACTTTTATAGCAGCTTTATTCACAACAGCCAAAAGGTAGAAACAACCCAAATCAGCAGATGAATGGAAAAACAAAATGTGCTATATATACTATAGATTATTATTTAGCCTTAAAAAGGAAGGAAATTCTGACCCGCGCTATACTATGGAAGAACACTAAAAACATTATGCGAAGTGAAAGAGGCCAGACACAAAAGGACAAATATGGTATTATTCCACTTATATGAAATCCCTAGAGTAGCATATTCGTGGAGACAGAAAATAGAATAGTGGATGCCAGGGGTCAGACGGAGAGGGAATTCGGGGGAGTTGTTTACTCATTAGGTGCAGGGTTTCTGTCTGGGATTGTTATAGGCTGGATATGTTTTGCCAAAACTCATATGTTGAAGCCTTTAACTCCCAGTGTAATGGTGTTTGGAGGTGGGACCCTCGGGAGGTGATTAAGTTTACATTAGAGGTCAGGAGGGGCGCCTGGGTGGCTCAGTTGGTTAAGCGACTGCCTTCGGCTCAGGTCATGATCCCGGAGTCCCAAGATCAAGCCCCACATCGGGCTCCCTGCTCAGCAGGGGGTCTGCTTCTCCCTCTGCCCCTCCCTGTCTCGTTCTCTCTCTCTCTCAAATTAAAAAAACAAAAAAAACACAAGAAACTATTAGAGGTCAGGAGAGTGGGACCCTCTTGATGGGATTAGTGCCCTTGTAAAATAGACCCTAGAGAGCTCCCATCCCTCATGTGAGGTTACAGTGAGGAGATGACCATCCATGAGGAAGAGGGCCTTCACCAGACACCAAATCTGCCAGCACCTTGACCTTGAACATCCCAGCCTCCAGAAGTGTAATAAATAAATGCCTGATGTTTAAGCCACCCTGCATATATATTTTGTTATAGTAGCCCAAGCTAACAAAGACTGGGATGAAGGAAAAGTTCTAGAGTTGGATGGTGGTGATGGTTGCATAACAATGTGAATGTGAATGCACCTAATGCCACTGAACTGTACCCTTAGAAATGATCTAAATGGGGGCACCTGGGTGGCTCAGTCGTTATACATCTGCCTTCAGCTCAGGTCATGGTCCCAGGGTCCTGGGATTGAGCCCTGCATCGGGCTCTCTGCTTGGTGGGAGGCCTGCTTCTCCCTCTCCCACTTCCCCCGCTTGTGTTCCTGCTCTCTCTGTCTCTGTCAAATAAATAAATAAATAAATCTTTTAAAAATATGACCTAAATAGGGGCACCTGGCTGGCTTGGTCAGTAGAGCATGAGACTCTTGATCTCGGGGTTGTGGGTTCAAGCCCCATGCGGCGGGGTAGAGATTACTTAAAAATAAAATCTTTAGGGGTGCCTGGATAGCTGAGTCGGTTAAGCATCTGTCTTTGGCTCAGGTCATGATCCTGGGGTCCTGGGATCGAGTCCCACGTCAGGCTCTCTGCTCAGTGGGGAGTCTGCTCCTCTCACGCTCTGCCTACTTGTGCTCTCTCTCTCTCTCTGTCAAATCAATCAATAAAATCTTTTTTGACAGAGAGAGACACAGTGAGAGAGGGAACACAAGCAGGGGGAGTGGGAAAGGGAGAAGCAGGGCTCCCGCGGAGCAGGGAACCCGATGCGGGGCTTGATCCCAGGGCCCCGGGATCATGACCTGAGCCGAAGGCAGATGCTTAACAGCTGAGCCACCCAGGCGACCCTCAATCAATAAAATCTTAAAAAAAAAAAAATCCCTAGGGGACCTGGGTGACTCAGAGGGTTAAGCAGCCATCCAACTCTTGATTTTGGCTCAGGTCATGATTTCAGGGTGGTGAGACTGAACCCTGCACTGGGCTCTGCTCTGGGCATAAAGCCCGCTTAAGATTCTCTCTCTCCCTCTCCATTGGCTGCGCCCCCCCCAACCCCCTGCTACCCATGCATATGCGCTCTCCCTCTCCAAAATGAATAAATAAAATCTTTTAAAAAATTATTTAAATGTTAAATCCTATGCTATATGTATGTACTGCAATTATAAAAAACCTGCTCATTTTAGCAGTACATATACTAAAATTGAGACAATTCAGAGATTAGCATGGTCCCTGCATAAGGATGACACGTAAACTTGTGAAGATTTCCATATTTCTATATTTTTTATTTTTAAAATTTTTATTATTATTATTTTGTGTGTGTGAGTAAAGCGATAGAAGTTTATTAAGTGAAGATACAGAAAAAGCTCTCAAGAGTAAGAGGGGTCCCAACAGAGTTGCCAACGAGGACATGTAGGGTTGGTCTTTTATAGAAAGCTAACCAGGGAACTTAAATAGTGACCATCGGAGACGGGAAGGGCCCTACTATAGGCAAAGTCCCTGAGGTGGGAGAAAGCCATTTAAGAAAAGCCAATGAACAGAACGCAGAATTGGGTAGGGTTAGGCCAACATTCCTTCTTTTGAGGAAGGGGAATTGACCAAATCTTTGTCCAGACGCCTGTCACCCGAGACTTATGACCAGCGGCTGCACTATTCGCCTTTGACTGGCCAACAGGTGCCCGGTTTTGCTGTTTATGAGAAGAGGTCGTCTAAGGGAGAGATGTCTCCCAGGAAAGAAAAGAGCCTGCTTTTACTCACCCTTTGGTGGAAGTGATCCCAGGTTTCGGCACCAAAATGAAGCAGTAGAGCTAGGTTCTTGTCTCATGGTGTTGAAGAATGAATCTCTTGGACAACAGAGAGTGAGTAAAGCGACAGAAGTTTAAGTGAAGATACAGAAAAAGCTATTAAGAGTGAGAAGGGTCCCGACAGGGTTGCCCTATTTTTTTTTTTAAAGTCTTATTTTTATTTATTTGAGAGAGACAGAGAGAGCAAGCCCTCAAGTGAGCAGAGGGAGAGGGAGAAGCAGACTCCTCGCTGAGCAGGGAGCCCTACGTGGGGCTCTATCCCAGGACCCTGAGATGATGACCTGAGCTGAAGGCAGACACTTAACCAGGCGTCCCAGTACTACGATAGCTTTTGATTCAGACTGTTTTCTGAGGAACCCGAGGAAAACATATTCTGCAATTTTCCCATTCTCCTGTTGATGAATAGTTGGGTTGTTTCACGTTTTTTGAGACTGCATACAATGCAGGGAGGGCTGACATCCTTGTTCATGCCTCCCAGTGCACTTGTGGCTGTTTCTCTAGAATGTTCCTAGAACTGGAACTGCTGGATCCTAGGTCGAACGCTCCTTCAGCTTTACCATATATCACCCACTTAATTTCCAAAGTGCTGACTTACTTTCCCACTTTATTTCTCTCCCGGCCCCTGCCCTCACTCAGCTCACTGTACTGGGGTCACTCAGGCCTTCTTTCAGTTCCTTTAGCACATGTGCTCCCCCATCACGGGACCTTTGCATCTGCTATTTTTTCTGCTGAGAACACTTCCCCTACCCTCAGCCTAGCTAAGACCTCTTCTTTCCGCGGTGCTTAGCTCTGTGCTGAGAGCCACTCCCTGACTTCCTCCTCAAGCCCAGACCAGGTCAACCCCATCCTCTCCATGCCCACATTATATACCCCAGAGCCTCGCATACCTCTCTGTTGTGATACACTTATTAGTTGCAAGGTTCCATCTATCTGTGCAACTATCGGCACAAAGTCGGTCAATTCTGCTACGTTTCACTAGCCTGAAAGGAGGAGCCACCATGTTTGCTTAAGCTTATTGCCCAATCTCCAGCATCCAACACTGTGCCTGGCACATTAGTAGGCCACTGGCATTATTATTCTCGTACCTATTCTATGTTCTCACTCATATTTGAATCCAGAATGTGATTTTTCCAGCATGTCTCAGTATATCTACTGCAGGCTGAAATCATGACAATGTAACACAGTCTCTTTCCTTGAGGAGCTCACAGAGGGAGGTCAATAAACATTTATTGAGCCTGCTGGACCCGGATGTATTTGAGTGCTTAGCACTGGTTTCATTGACTTAGATGTCACCTCTAGTGTGAGTACTACTATAATGAGTAATGATGATCACTGTTTATTGAGCATTTATTATGTGCCAGGCACTCTACTAAATGCTTTACAGTTACCATCTTATCCTACTTTCACATCCTACCAGGGAGGCACTATTTTTTTTTTTTTAAAGATTTTATTTATTTATTTGACAGAGAGAGACACAGCGAGAGAGGGAACACGAGCAGGGCGAGTGGGAGAGGGAGAAGCAGGCTTCCCACTGAGCAGGGAGCCCGATGTGGGGCTCGATCCCAGGACCCTGGGATCATGACCTGAGCCGAAGGCAGACGCTTAACGACGGAGCCACCCAGGCGCCCCAAGGGAGGCACTATTATTACCTCCATCTTACAGGTGAGGAAACAGCCTTAGACAAGTGAAGTCACTGGTTCAAGATCACACAGCTAGTAAATGGTGCCGACAAATTTCTCAGCCAGAGTGTCAACGTCCTACCATGATGCTAAGTTTCTCCTGCCCCAATTACACTGCTTTCAGTTGGACTCCCCAGACGGAGTGTTTAATCACAATAATAAATTAGCAATATCTACCATTATGGGGCACTTATTGAGCACTAATCACTTTATATCCATCCATTCATTTATTCAACAAATATTTATTGAGAACCTCGTGGGCCAAGCAGTATTTGACATGTGTGGGGTTACAGAGGTGGACAAAAGAGATTAAAATTGCTGCTTTGTGGAGTTGTCATCCTAGTGGGAGGAGAAGAACAACAACAAATAAATAAAATATATGATGGGGCGCCTGGGTGGCTCAGTTGGTTAAGCGACTGCCTTCGGCTCAGGTCTTGATCCTGGAGTCCCGGGATCGAGTCCCGCATCGGGCTCCCTGCTCAGCAGGGAGTCTGCTTCTCCCTCTGACCCTCCCCCCTCTCATGCTCTCTCTATCTCATTCTCTCTCTCAAATAAATAAATAAATAAAGTATTAAAAAAAATAAAATATATGATAGATGGTGACCAGTGCTACAGAGAAAATGAAAGCAGAAAAGGGAACTACGACGTGTAATGACTGGGGTTTCTGTGGTCTCATTTCATTCTCCCAAACATCTATTATTTTCCCATCGTGGAAATGATACTGAGATTCACTTGGTGAAGTCACTTACCCACAAGCACGCAGCTCATAGGCGGAGAAGTCAGGACTCTGGAAGGGCTGAGGATCCCATTCTTTGCTGTACACCTGAGTGCCTCAGATTTGGTAAACAAAAGGAGCATCCAAATTTCTTCTCTGAGTTTAAGGTCGGGCAGATGGGTAAGTTGACCCACGTGAGTGGAGAATTCACAAAATTATACTGAAGTGTCCTTGCCGTGCCCAGGGCAGACATTAAGCGTGATCCCCCGTGGGAGATGAGGATGCAGAGCCTGCGGTCAAGGCTCAGGCTGACGAATGGATTCCCGAGTTCGGGAGCAGAAGTCTAAGGCAGGCTAGGTCATTCTGGGGGTGCTGTTGACTCAGACACCTACCAACCCCTGCCCCCACAGCCCGCTCTGTGCCCCGCCCCCTTCCCCCCTGGGTCTCCGCACTCCAGGCCATTAAGCTGGGAGAGCAAGTGGCTAGTGACTAGTGATAAACCCCTGCCTCGGGCGCCTGGGTGGCTCAGTTGGTTAAGCGACTGCCTTCGGCTCAGGTCATGATCCTGGAGTCCCGGGATCGAGTCCCGCATCGGGCTCCCCGCTCGGTGGGGAGTCTGCTTCTCCCTCTGACCCTCTTCCCTCTCGTGCTCTCTATCTCTCATTCTCTCTCTCTCAAATAAATAAAATAAAAACAAAATTAAAAAAAAAAAAAATAAACCCCTGCCTCGCCCTGGGGAAGCCAAGCTCAAGCGCAAATAACGGCCTCCCAGACAAGGGGGTCTGCGGCGAGAACACAGGGTGTGCGTTTGCGGGCCTCAGCTGCAGGCCATGACAGCTGGCTCCTTACCCCCAGGTGACCCCCGCTCCCCGCCCCCGCGACTCAGTTTCTGCCCCGCAAATCTTGTGGACCGGTGAAGTAGTCTGGAAAAAGAGTAGGGGAGAGCCTGGGCTTTGGAGCTAGAAAGGTGTAGAGCACCACCTCCCCAGGTACATCACATTGTCTGTTGCACTTTAAGAGGGCCTCTTAGAATCTCTGCATCTTTTTCAAAGAAGTACACTTTCATTCATTCGACAAATTCATTCATTCATTCCAGAGACTGAGTACATTTTATGAGCCAGGCCCTAAAGGCTGAGGATAAGCAGTGAATAAGACCAAAGTCAGTCTCCTCAGGGACTTTTCCTTTTATTTCTTTAATTAAAAAAAAAAAAGTTTTTTAAGTAATCTCTAAGCCCAAAGTGGGGCTCGAACTCACGACCCTGAGGTTAAGAGTCCCATGCTCTACTGACTGAGCTAGCCAGGTGCCCCAGGGACTTTTAAAGAGAGAGCCAGACAATAGACTGCTAACACTTGAGTATTTTGTTATAATTGTGAGTATTCTGAATGAGAAAGAGGTGGGTTCTTTTTAAATATTTTATTTATTTATTTGACAGAGTGAGACACAGCAAGAGAGGGAACATAAGCAGGGGGAGTGGGAGAGGGAGAAACAGGCTTCCTGCTGAGCAGGGAGCCTGATGTAGAGCTCTGGGCTTGATCCTAGGACCCTGGGATGATGACCTGAGCCGAAGGCAGACACTTAATGACTGAGTCACCCAGGCGCCCCCTGAATGAGAAACAGTTTTGCGCTAGGGTAAACTGGGCAAACTCACCTGCTCTCAGTTTGCAAGGGGTGGTCTCAAAGATTTCTCTCCTTGGGCTGGGGTAAGAGCCAACTGTCCATCCGGCTTCAGAACATCCTAGCCTCACCAGGGAGAAAGGCCTGCTCTCTGCCATGAACAGATGCTATGGGGTGAAGAGGAGGCTTTCCTACAAAGGCTGGGCTGTGTATGAATCTAGGAGGTACTCAAGCAATTGGTGAATTAATGAAGGTCATTTCAAGGTTTAAAAAGCCACTGATTCCATCTGCAAAGGATGTTATAATGGCTAGCTAGGAAAAGAGAAAAATCTCAGTACTGTTAGCCTAGATCTCTGGAAGGGTGAGGAATTTGGGGATTAAGGGAGGCACAGTAGGGATACAGGATTTTCATTAGACAGGTACTTTTTTTTTTTTTTAAGTAGGCTCCACGCCCAATGTAGGGCTTGAGCTCCCCACCCTGAGATCAAGAGTCACTCACTCTACTCACTGAGCCAGCCAGGTACCCTTAGACATGTACTTTTAAACTGGGTGCTGGCCCTGTGCTATAGGTAAGGAGATACATCCATGAGGCACACAGGGTCCCCACCCTCCCAGGGCTCCCAGTCAGCTGAGAGCATAGGCAACAATAAGGTAATGTGATAAGCATTATGAGGGGGGCAGGAAAGAGAAGACATCAAAGCTTGTTCCAAGAGGGTGAGAGAGCTATTGGGAGGAGAACTGAAAGGTGAGACTCCTCCTGGTGGAAGGATCAGCATATGCAAAGGTCTGAGGAGAGAGAAAGCAGGTTTATTCAAAGAACTCAAAATAGTTGAGCTTGGTCAGACTTCCAAGGCTTGTTGGGGAGAGAACAGATGTTGGAGAGAAAAGCAGGGATATTCCACCCACGTTGGGCAGCCTTCCCCTTGGAGGAAAACATTTCCCTCGATCCAGAACTAGCTAGGGTTATGAAGTCCAGAAGGTCGACTTCATTTTAACGAAGACACAGCATTTACTGACCACCCGGTTACAGAACACTGGTTCATTCAATCCTCATAGAACTCTTAGATGTTTGACATGACCGCCCCCATTTTACAGATAGGATAACAGGCTCAGTTTGGCCACCTTGTCCAAGCTCACGAGATCTGGGAATTTAGAATGTTCCTCTATGTAGATGCTTTTATTCTAGCAGTTCCTTTTTACCCGAGGTGATGCAGGTGAAAGCTTTTTTCTAATAGAGCCATGTCCACATGAGGCATTCTTGTTAACTCTGGCAGGGCTACTGGCCCCATCCGGTTCAGCTTGCAGCACTCAGGGAGCCCAGGAAGGGGCAGTAATGAAAGCCAAAAGGCCCAATGGCCTCTCTTAAAATTCCCTCATGTCTATTCTGGTTCCCTCTCTGGGGGTACTTCCAGATACTATCTTCTGCTAAATAGAGAGTTTGATTCTCAGAAGTTGCAAGACGTGGGAGGTTAAAAAAAAAAAAACAAAAAAAACCCGGCAGCATCAACAACGACAAAAAGGCCTGCAGCAGCCTGAACACAAAGAGTTTGAATTTTGAACAAAGGGCAGAGTGAGACCCGAAAGTAAATGCTGACACATCCTCTCTCCAGCTGTGAGCTGGGGGTCTGAGGGCTGCTGCAAAGGTCATCAGTCTCTACATCTTTGGGGCAGGAAATGCAATTCAATCCTCTCAGTGACTGATTGCTCTGCAAGATTAATGGAATCGTCCACAACACTGGTCTCTGTTCTGACAGCACAAAAAGTGAATCAGACTTCTCCCCTCCCCTCTCCTCCTCAAGGTCAGCTGATTCCCCATTTTAAAAGTTCAAAACTTTTTCTCCAGGAAATCTGTTCCCCTGGGGGTGTTCCTTTGTGGAGCGAAACTCTACCTCCTGGAGTGAGATCCAAAGGTGATGCTTGAAGGTCTGAGGACCTTTCTAGGTTTTCATCTGTTCCTACTTCATCTTTCAAAATAAAATTAATGTTAAGGGCGAAATCGTCCCTGAAAGGGTTAACGGCCAGCCCTGCTGTCCGGCCCTCAGGGACTGGCAGCCAATGACAACTTAGCATGATGAAGTAATGCCTGGGTTTTGATTTCCATTGGTTAATACACATGTCCATCAATAGAAAGATGCAAGTTTTGAAAGTATCTTTGAACTTTTATGACTCTCCTTCTGGAGTTAACCCCTTAATTAACTCACCTGTTATTTCCAAATTTCCTTCGGATCCTAGCACGGGAAGATGCAGAGCTTTAGACACGAAGTCTTCCCCAAATGCCCAAAGCCAGACACTCAGGCTATATGTAAGCTGGTCTTTCTAACTTTGATACTTCCATCTACACAGGACTAGTGAAAAAAATTAAAAAAAAAAAAAAGAAGAAAACAGAATACTTTAACAGAAAAAGTATGGTCTGTTGTTCCCCAAAATATTTTTCAAATTTATAATACAAAATATGACAAAAATCTAGGATTTGGCAAAGCTTGGAGGTGAACATACAAGTCCTTGGTATATTTGGTATATTTACTTTCCATGCCCTTCTTTATGCTTTAAATACCTGATAAATTTAAAAGGGCAAATAATACATAAGATGGTCTCTATATAACCCCTTCAAAATTTTCTCCCTCCTCAGAAGTGATCTTCTTCTTCTCTTTTAACTTATTTTTTATTTTTATTTTTTTAAAGATTTTATTTATTTATTGGAGAGAGAGAATGAGAGAGAGAGAGAGAGAGAGAGAGTGCGCGCACATGAGGGGGGGAGGGTCAGAGGGAGAAGCAGACTCCCTGCTGAGCAGGGAACCCGATGCGGGACTCGATCCCGGGACTCCAGGATCATGAGCTGAGCCGAAGGCAGTCTCTTAACCACCTGAGCCACCCAGGCGTCCTTCTCTTTTAACTTAAATGGGATCACAACATATATGTTATTCTGACTTTTTTGTTTCTTAACCAATCTTGAAGTTTTTCTGAATCATGACTTCAGATTTATCTCATCCTTACCTAATATTTTAGAATGATGCAGTTCTACAGATAGTATATGGAAAAATCTCCAAGATCATATTAAGTGAAAAAGGAAAGGAAAGGACAGTGGGTATATTCGTATGACATAATCACAATAGAAAATACATAGATGTGTGTAAATGCATAAACTATTTCTGATAGATACCCAAGATACATGCTAACAAGTTTTCTGGAGATGGGAGTGTGAAGGAGAGAAACTCGGTGGGTGGGCAGGGATGGGGGAGAAAGACTTAAAGCAATTTTTTTTTTAAGATTTTATTTTTAAGGGGCGCCTGGGTGGCTCAGTCATTAAGTGTCTGCCTTTGGCTCAGGTCGTGATCCCAGGGTTCTGAGATCGAGCCTCACATCGGGCTCCCTGCTCCGCAGGGAAGCCTGCTTCTCCCTCTCCAACTCCCCCTGCTTGTGTGCCCTCTCTCGCTATGTCTCTCTCTGTCAAATAAATAAATAAAATCTTAAAAAAAAAAAAAGGTTTTATTTTTAAGTCATCTCTACACCGGTGTGGGGCTCGAATAACCCACAGATCAAGAGTCACATGCCCGACGGAGACAGCCAGGAGCCCCAAGACCTGAAGCAATTTAAAAACAATTTTTAAGTTGTGGAATATTTCATAAGTATAATAGAATTTGTAAAATTTTAAAGTACATTTTAAAGAATTACACTCAGGTGCCCACCATCTAAATTAAGAGACAGAAAATCACCAGCACCTTTCTCTGTTCACATTCCCTGCCCCAGAGCGGAGTCTCTTCTGCACTTTGTGTTAATCACTCTTTTGCTTTTATTTATGCCTTACTGCTTATGTATATATCTAAACAATATTTAGTTGGTTTAGATCTGTGTGATTTTGAAATTTATTGTCTTTTTTTTTTTTTAAAGATTTTATTTATTTATTTGAGAAAGAGAGAATGAGAGACAGCACGAGAGGGAAGAGGGAGAAGCAGACTCCCTGCTGAACAGGGAGCCCAATGCGGGACTCGATCCCGGGACTCCAGGATCATGACCTGAGCCAAAGGCAGTCGCTTAACCAACTGAGCCACCCACGCACCCTGAAATTTATTGTCTTAAAAAGGATGAATAAAATGAAATTCCTGTTTGAGTAGGGTAATACAGGTACATAGTACAAAATTCAAAAGGTACTACACCTTAGAAAATGAAATTAAGTCTGTAAGGTTCCAAGTCAGGCAACTCTAACGCATGTGTGTTAAAAATGTCACCCTGTACCAAAGAATACATTTGCTTCTCTTTTCCCGGTTCTTTTCCCCATTTTTTGATTCTATATCTTTCCAAAGAAAATCCTGTACATACAAAAGAATAAATGTAGATATAAATTTGTCCCCTTTGGTTGATGTAAGTGGTCAGCACAATTTAGTATAAGTATTCTACACCTTGTTCTGTTTTGTGTTAATCTTTTTTTCTTTTTTTAGATTTTATTTATTTGGGAGAGAGAGAGAGCAAGCAAGCATGAACGGGAGGAGGAGCAGAGGGAGAAGCAGACTCCTGCTGAACAGGGAGCCCAATGCGGGGCTCAATCCCAGGACCCCGAGATCATGACTGGAACCAAAGGCAGATGCTTACTTAACCCACTGAGCCACCCAGGTACCCCTGTTTTGTGTTAACTTAAGGATATCATGAAATCATCCTGCATCAGTATATACAGAACTACCTTATTCTTCTTGATGATTTGATAACATTTCTTTTTTTATTTTATTTTATTTTATTTTATTTATTTATTTGAGAGAGAGAATGAGGGAGAGAGAGAGAGCACATGAGAGGAGGGCGGGTCAGAGGGAGAAGCAGACTCCCCACTGAGCAGGGAGCCCGACGCGGGACCCGATCCCGGAACTCCAGGACCATGACCTGAGCCGAAGGCAGTTGCTTAACCAACTGAGCCACCCAGGCGCCCCTGATAACATTTCAATGGACAGATAAATAGTCCAAGAATTATTTAATCAGTTCCCCAACTTTTGGATCATTTTCAGTCTGTTTCTGTTGCAAATAGGGCTAGAATGGATTGCATCTTTGTTTTTGTGTCTATCAGCAGGATATATATCAGGAAGTGGTTACCCATTTCTAAGGCTTCCTGCCCCATCACCAATGATCTGTCCTTGAGATCTGGGCAGGTGGGACAATCATATCTAACCGGTATCCCCAGGTGCCCACAGTGCTATGCTTTTGGCAGGCACTCAGAGTGAGTGGTTTAAGGAATAACACTCCAAATATTCACATTGTACCAGAAGGCCCCTTCGAGGAAACCTTTGCAGACATCCCTGTCCCCTTCCCCCACTCATCATTCCAATACTTCATTTTCTCAGGGTCCCTTCTTTCATTCCCCAGATATTTCCAGAAGGCTGATTATAGAGACACAGTGCCAAATCAGACTCTGAGATATATCTAGTCTGGTAGGTGAGTTAAGACAAATTCCGGAAAACACTGTAAGTTTGCACTGTCCAATAACATAGACACTAGCTACAGACAGCTATTTAAATTTTAATTAAAATTAAATAAAATTTAACATTCATTTCCTTAATCTCACTACCCACATTTCAAGTGCTCAGTAGTCACATGTGGCTAGGGGCTGCTGTTGGACAGCGCAGACACAGAATATTTCCATGACCGTGTCCTAGGGGAGAGCTGGGCAGGGAGGCATCAGGAGCGGTAAAGCCTGTGAGCTCTGGATTCCTACAAGCCCTGGGTGCGGATGCTGTCTCTGTTACTCTACAGCTGTAAAATCTGGGCAAGTAACTTGACCTCTCTTTGAGCCTCAGCCATAGAGGTGGGGAATTATAGACCCTCCCTCATTGGGGCTTTGGGGAAGAAAGGCATTAACAAACGGGAGTGGCTTTGCTCAAAGACCGGGTAAGCACTCAAAAATCAGGAGCTCCTCTAATTATGTATGAGAATGGCTTCAGTTTCTAAAATCTTGGGGATTCCTAACTCCCTTGGGAGCTGTCTGTCCACTCCCTGTCCAGGCTGGAGTATGTCTACAATCAGAGCCGGTTCTTCGATATCCCTGCTGTCTTAAAGCACAGAGCTGCTCAATCAACCTTTGATGAATGAAGAAATGAATGAATGGGGCCAACCCGGCCAGGATTTGACTGGGTCTTTTGTAAGAATGAGAAGGAGGGTCCGGGAAGTCATTATTACTAAGTTTCAAATACAACCGGCCTGGTCTTTTTTTTTTCCCTACAAGAAAAAGTACCTCTCTTGGAGAAGCACCTTAATCTTCCCTCCCCTTCTCTCACCTACTGCCCACGCCTCTGGTACAATTAGGCAGCACTAGGAGCTCAAGGGTCTTGGCCCTTCCCCCTTTGGCCCAAAATAACCTCCTCCCCCACTTTGAGCAAATGCCTGGAATTCTTTCAACGGGAGGACAAAGCCTTTCATCTGCCAATTACTGATAAAGGGAAAATGCAAATATCTCTGGGGAAGGTGATCCATCAAGGGCCCAACATTTACTGAGGGACCACTTAGGACCAGGCGGTAGGGTAGGCACTCTGGGGGAGTCCGAGGGAACAAGCCCCCCCCCTCCGTTGGCCCATTCTTCTCTTTGGTCTGTAGTTTCCTCACGGTTTGTAAAGGGAAGGGATTAAATTAGGTGACGACTCAACCCCTTCCCACTCTGACAGGCCAGGAACTCCCCATTGGGGTGATATATGGACTTAACTGTTTTTGCACTGAGGTGCTTGCCATCGGATCTTTTCCTGACACCAGGCTTTGGGGACCCCTCTGAGGCCACATGGAGAGAGAAGGGTCCCTGGGAGGAAAGGAGAATTAGGATCAAGCAGTCTATTTTGGTTTTGCCTTACTGCACTTTACTTCCTTTCCATGACCCTCCAGCCCAGACGCCCGCCTTTGAACATGTTCATTTCATTATGTGGGAACAAGGAGGGTGGTCAGCATCCAAAAAGGCTGTGATGGCAGAACCAGGCTCCAGTTTGAGCCCTGGTGACTACACTTACAAGCTTGTGGCCTTGGGTGAGTGGCTTTGCCTTTCTGAGACTCAGTTTCTTCATTTGTAACATGAGGAATAACAAGACTATTATTCTTCGAGGGGTCTTGACAGAGGCTGAGGGCAAAAACCCTTCTCATTCCCACTAAGCTAACCTGGGCTATGTCAGTTTGGAAATAAATTTTGATATTTGCCATCTAGTGAACTGGGATTAAAACAAACCTCAAAGAACAGTTTTTAGGGGTGGGTGGAAAAGAATATAGGAAGACAGGACAGGAAACTTTAAGGTGAGTGAGGGGGAAGCTGTCTCTTAGGGTGACCAATACAGAGCGGATGGTTCATATCCGATCTCTCATGGGGAAGCCACTTCCTCTCCACACATCTGAGCGTTGACGAGGGAGGATATTGGCTTGGCGCACAGGAATCACCCCGACTGCTCACGTCTTTGAGCCTCAGTTCATCTCTCTGCAAAATGACCTGCTCCAACTATCCTACAGGCTTAATGGCAGAAATAAAAATACATTTAAGGTTTTTTTTTGTTTGTTTGTTTGTTTGTTTTTTTGGCCAAGTCGGCTACGAGCATCCATGTTCTTTATTGGAGCTGCGTTCTGTTGTCAATTCCTCCCGATTGTTACCCCAAAGAGCAGGCCCAGTTGGACTGGAGGAATGTTTAGGGCCAGCCTTGCCCATAATCCAAGTCGACCTGACTGTTGTTCATAATGGAATCACAGGAAGGCACCTTTAGGACTCCACTTCTGGGGGTAGTCATAGCCAACCAGTTATACTGAGGGAAAGCAAGAGAGAGCCAGTACCTCTGCCAAGAATTCCTACAGGATTCATCAAGGGGCACCCAAAGTTCCCCGCGCCCCATCCCTGAGCGTCTTGCACCTTTCCACCGACTTTTCTCCTATAAACGGCCAATAAGGGCTTACCCTTCGCCTGCTTGCCCGCTGCGTTAGGAGGCGCCAGATCCGATTCCCTCGGTATTTCACTCCTGAGCATCTATTTCCTTCTCTTGGCGAGCGCAGAGACCTTTAAAAACTGTCCAACTTCTGTTCCAGGGCTCGTCGCCTAGTAAAGGACTCCACAGACGCGGGCAGGATGAATGAATGAAAGGCAACGTCTTCCGGTCAGCTCGGGTCTGAAAAGGCTCTGGTCTGGCTGTATTTCCTGTACCTGCGTGTGTGTGGGTCCATGTCTTTGAGTCCGGGAGTTTAAAAGTTATGCAGTCCGTACAGGTATGGAGCTGCGCTAATTTCTTCCTGAGCCCCCAAATGCCTCCTCCATATGGCAGGTCCTCATATGGGGGTCTGGAGAGGATCGCCCCCCCCCAAGCAAGACATGCAGCAGAAAAGAAAAAAACAATTATATATACAAAGCTCTTTGAATTTGGGTCGGCCACGTAGGTAATGGGGTGGGGTGGATGAAGGAAGAGGAAGAGGGGTGGCCCGTGGGGGCCGTGGGCAATGGGGGCAGGGATTGAGGTGGGGGGTCTTTTTTGGGGGTGCCAGGCCTCGGGGGCTTTCTAGCCAGCAAGCTCGGCTTGCATTTCCGCGCCTCCCGCTGAGACCAGCCGTGCAAATCTGCACCTCCCTCCCCACCCCCTCCTCCTTCCCTCCCTCCCTGCCCCGCCATCTCCGGGATGCGCCCGCCGCCTGCAACTCAGCCCTCCAAAAGTCAGCTCTGCACACAACTCCCGGGCGGCGGCGGCGCCTGCGTGCAAGGCGCACTCGTGACCCAACAACAAAACAGCGATGCCAGGGCGCTAACGGCGCCCGGTGCCTCCCGGGCGCCCTCCCCGCCCCACACCTCCTCGGGCAGCCGCCCCCGCCCCCCCCATCCCGGGCCGAGTGCCCCCTCCACTAGCCCGGCCGCGGGCTCAGAGCGCGATCGGCAACAATGTTTACGTTCCGGGGATTATGACGTCGACGCCTCCCCCCCCACAACTGCTGAAAATGGTTTCCTAGGACTTTGCAAACGGATCTGCTTAAGTGTTGGTGCAAAACTTTGTAGATCTCGGCTGTGGCTTGCTTTATTTATTTATTTTTTGGTTTGTTTTCTTTGGTCTTCCCTCCTTCCCCCCTCCGCCAAAATGCAGGGGGCAGGAGTGTTGACAATTAATTGGTGAACTCTCCTAAAAAAATGGAGGCAGAGAAAGACTCTGGAAGAAGATTGGTGTGTAGCTTTTTTTTTTTTTTTTCCAAATCTGTATCTGGTAATGATAGATCTATTTTTTTTTGTTGTTGTTGTTTCTTGCTGCCTTTTCTTTCCTTTTCTGTATTTTGCAAGAGGACCGGAAAAAATATAATAAATTGCATGCAAAAGGAAGCAAGCAGCTTACTCCTCCAGTCCCTTGTGAGGCGCAGAGTCTCAGACACTTAAGTGGGGAGGTGGTAGCGGGGAAAGGCGTGGAGAGAGGCTGAGCGGGCTCGGGGTTCGCCCGGAATCTGGGGGGCTGCAGGGCCCGGCGCTGGGCGGTTGAGGGAGGAGGCAGGGGATGCGGGGAGTGGTGGGGGAGTCTCCTTAGGAAGTGAGTGTGCGCGCGCGCTTGTGGGGAGATGAGGCAGCTGCTGGTGCGTTTTGGGGTCTCCGATGGGAGCTTTGTGGCGGGCCGTCTGCCTCTCCCCCTCCCAAGCCCCGACCTCCCCCTCCACCTCTTCTTCTAGCACTGGCGGGCGGTCGGCGGGGGCGGCTGGGGTCTCAGCCCTTCCATTTCAGCTTTCCAGCTTCCCGAGTAGCTCGGGGGCGGCTCCAGCCTTAGAAATGCCGCCGGCCCCCGGTTCCGGCTTTCCGGCTCTGCCGCGGCGGCCGCCCGGGCTGCTGTTAGCGCCGAGCCGGGCGCTGCGGTGGCTCCTCCCGGGGCCTACAAATGCCCCGCCAGCCCGTGCGCGGAGCCCCCTTCGCGGGTTACATAACCAGGCTCCTGGCCGAGTGGGCAAAACTCAACACCTATCGGGGGTGGGGGGCAAGGGAGAGCCCCCCTGATGTCCTTTCCACGGCCTCCAAAGATGCAGGAGGGGAGTGTCCTGTGTAGGGCACAGCCGGACCCCGGGGGTGCGGGCCCCTCTCGTTATCCTGGTTTTCAGCATCTTTGGCATTTGCGCAAAGTTGCTCGGGTCGCAGTGGTGGGGTGCGGGTGGGGGGGGGCGCGCAACTCCTGCACCTGCTTGAGCTGGGCCTAGGGTAAGAGGCGACCCCCCAGTTCCCCCAGTAATGCCTCGGGCTCTCTGGTTTGGGTCCCCGCAGCGTCCGATTGACCGCCAGAGGTACGACGAGAACGAGGACTTGTCGGACGTGGAGGAGATCGTCAGCGTCCGCGGCTTCAGCCTGGAGGAGAAGCTGCGCAGTCAGCTGTACCAGGGGGACTTCGTGCACGCCATGGAGGGCAAAGGTGAGACGCCCCCTCCTCGGGCCGCCCTCCGCGCCGCGGCCCGAGCGCACGTGGGGAGGGAGCTGCCGGTGGCTGGGTTCGTATTTCGCGCCCGCGTCCCCCATTCCAGGGGATCCGGTGACGAAACGAGGCCGAGCACTGGGGGGGTGGGGTGGGGTGGCGAAGGAGGAGGGCAGGCGGGAACGGGGGCCGGGCGTGGGCCTAAGACCCGGCCCGCGCCCACAGCCGGCCCCAGGGTGGGCAGAGCCGGGGGACCGGCGGTCCGAGGGACCTGGGGACTGACGGGTGGACGGAGGGAGGGCGGGTACGCGGCATTCTACCCCTCCCAGAGCCAGCCCAGCTTCTTGTGCTGAATGAGGTGCGGCTGCCTGACTGGGAGAGGGGCTGGGGTGCCCCTGGGAAGAGGACCCCACTAGGCCTGAAGCTTCCCAAACCCCGTCCCATTTCGGGCCCTGCCCGTTAGGAGCTGGTGCTGGGGATGCTCGGGTCACGGAATGATGCTTCCTCAGCCCCTGGGTCTGCGGAACCCTGCAACCTTCTGGTCTCGGCCAGATTTGAGCAGGGCCCGGATGAGTTCAGAACTGTTGGTCGGAGCTCCCACTTATGCCTGAGGCCTCTGGCCCTTCAGTCTTGACAGTTTGAAGTCGGGACTGGGGGTAAGAGAGTTTTACTCCCTCCGGCTTCAGGCTGAGATCCCTGACCCCTGTAGTTTGAAGTGAAAATGTGGGGTACCCCTCTGGGGAACAAAGTTTCTTCTCAGCCTGAGACCTTGAGAGCTCTGTCCCTGGTAGGCCCTGCCAGCTTAGAGAAGTTGGGGAAGCCTCTGGGGTTTTGGGGTGTCACCCCAGCCTGAGACCTTCAGGGCCTGAGTTTCTCCCTAACCCTAGTATTAGGAAGGTGTCTGGTGGTGTCCTGCCAACGTTGGGGTGATGCTCTGGCTTGGGTATTGAGACCTCCAGAGGCCCCGTGTGACCTGTGGTTCTGCCTGTGGAGTTGGGGTTTTGGAGATGCCCCTGCCTACCTAGGTACTTCCCTGGGCTCTCTGGGGTTTTTAAGTTGTTTTTTTTCCCTCTTAGATATTCAAGTTTCCGTTATAATACACCGTTATAATACACCGTTTTCATTTTGTTGACTCCCCCCCCCAACCCCACCCCTTGGAAAACCTTCCATCCCTCAGTGAGCTGATGACAGGGGCAGTGCCTTCCCCTTCAGGTTCTGGTTGAGTGGCTGGGGCTTTAGGTTAGCCCCCAGAAGAGACAGTCCTGGCTTTGCATTTTTGAAGTTTCTCTTTTGTGCCCACTGCTTCCTGGGGTGCTGGGCTTCAGTGGTAGGGGGTAGTTGTTGGGGGAGGGAAGAAGACATTTCTTTCAACCTGCCAGGTCTTTGCACCCTGAGGTAGACCGTCTGGGGGGCTAGTCTCAACTACAATCAAATTTCCTTAGCACAAATGGGATTTCAATTCCTTTTGTTTCTTTCCCATTTTACTGAGTTTGGTGGATCCTATGAGAAAACAACATGCATACTCTTCCTAGTCATTTGTAAGGAATTCTCAGCCCAAGATCTGAGTGTTTTCTCAAGCTCATTTGAGGAAGTTGAAGCTGAGGAGAGTGGGGGTGGGGGGCGGGCTTTGGGTGTGGGTGTGTAGGGGGTAGATTCCAGCTAGGGAGAGCCCTTAAATCTTCTGTCCAGGCTCTTTTCAAAGGAGAGGGCCCTAGCGATTTGGTAGTTAATTCAGATCTGGCCCCAAAACTTCGAGGGAGGAGCTGAGAAACAGAAGGAGCCCTTAGCCTGGATTCAAAATAGAAGCTTCTTAAACTTCTCTGCCTTTAAATCCTTAGGAATCCCCATTCACTGTGAGCCCCTGGGGATCTGAGCTGCTAAGGTCAGGGCTTTCCCCAGCTCTGGTTTTGTTCTCTTCCTCTGCTCTGAGCAGAGTTGCCTTGGCCTCCTCCCCCACCAAGCTGCCCTGGTGAACTGTTTGCCTGGGGCAGGGGCTCCCGAGGCCTGTGGTCTCTCCTATCTCTCCTCCAACTGGCCAGGGAGGGCTTGTGGCCTTGTGGCCTTGTGGATTGCTTTGGTTCACCTCAGGATTTGGGGATGTGATGGTTTATCTCAGCCTCCTTCGACTCCATATTTAGGAGTAAGTTTCGGTCAGATCCGCTGGTTTTGGAACCCGAGGAAAACGTAAAAACGAAGGCCTCCTTCATTCTCCAGGGCTTTTGAGAAGGGATTTGGGGGTCTACACTGGACAAAGCTGAAACGCAGCACTACCTTGTGAATTGGCTTTGGGCCTCACTGTGCCCTCTTCACGCTGCCTTCACCTGGGGGGAGCGTCCTGGTGGAAACAAGGATGGCAGTAGCTGGAGCAGAATTACACTATTAAGACAACAAAGCTATGCCCAGTTCTGTAGTAATTTTGGCACCAAATACACAGTTTCCAGGGAAACCAGCTTTTCCCCCCCTCCCCTTCACTATGCAGGATATTACAATAAGATCTTCCCCGATGCTCAGCTACAATGAGAACCCTCCTCCCAGCCTCCTCTCTGGGGCTTCAGATCCTCCCAGGTGGTATTCTTCAATTTTGCACTGCCTTTAACTTTCTGAGCTCAGCTTGGGGTGCATTTCTGT